AGGGGGGGGGGTTGTCCCAGCCCGTGAGACATGTATTTACTTGGCCTAATGTCCTGTCTTGTTGTGCGTTTGCGTGAGGCGTTTGCGTGAGTGCACGTTTAAGTCTAACTTTTGTAACGTCTACTGCCATTGTTAACGACCAAGATAAATTTCTCCCTGCGAGATGAATAAAGATTGTCATTGTCATTCTACGAAAAAATTCTTAACTTATTTTTCATTATGCAAGGTACTTTTGGGGGGGGGGGGGGGGGGGGTTCTTTCACCTTTCTATTCCTTTATCGGGATAGAACGAGGGTAATTTTACGTTAATGTTTGCATATTTTTATGCATTAAAAAAAAAATATCTGTTGTTGGTGGGTGTTTTTTACCCACAGATCGTTTTAAATGCCAATGTAATAAATTTCTTAAAGTCTTTTGAGTCAAGCAATGCCAATTCAAGTCATTTCCATTAGTGAATATACTGTTGGCGTTACCATACTTTTGTCTTTCTCGTCTTAGCCGCAAGCCCTGTGACAAATGTTGAGCTGGAAAGTCTACCCTTGACCGCCCAGGGAAGGCTGGACCTGAATGTTAGCTGGGTCCCAGGTTATCGGAACGGGGAAACTACCTTCACTGTTGTGATCAAGGAAAAGGAAAGTCTCACCTCAGGAAACTTTACTGAGAAACAAACGCGCACGTTTGAAGGTAAAAAATTGTTTGCTTTGGGTTAGTGGGTTTTTTTGGGTTTCATTTTTGGTTCTGTGATGTGTATATTTTGTTCACGTTGTGTTGTTGTTGTTGTTGTTGTTTGTGTGTGTTTTTTTAAACTTTGCCCAATTCTATCATCTGGCGCTGTTGTGTTTAGTAATAACAATAAACTGTGCAGCATTTTGGGTTTTGAACTTACCTGTTAGTCTTAAACACACAGGAAAATATGTTACAATTAATATAAATAAATACATTAACTCTTTTTATCCGGGCTACGAGTATACTCGTAACGAGGACCAGTCCGGGCTACGAGTATTCTCAGAACAGCGATACGGTCACGTCAAAGTAGCTAGTTCTGCTTGTCTGAATATTTTAATTTTCCAATGAACAGTGGTTTCTTTGTTTTTGATGGGTGTAGAAGCTTGAAAGATGTCTCGAAAACGCACATTCACGACCGACGAAGTACTTTTTGAAGTGGCACTGGGTAGTGAGGGGGAATGATACTAATTTGATGAAAGTGACTCTGAAATAAGTGCCGTAAATTCCGTTGTGGAAGATAAGAAACAGGACTTAGACTCATCTAATAGCGATTCATATCATGGTGAAGGGGTCAGAACTGAAATTCGTGCTCAATGGGTAGGGCTAGATCTAGATCTATAAAATCTAATGGGACGTCGTGGGCGCGGCAATCAGGGTCAAGTTCGAGGGTGGAATACACCTCAAAATCAACATTGTGCTATTGATGTATTTCCTAACAACATACATTTACAAAAACTACATTCAACTCCTAACATAACTGCCAAATTTCCTTAAAACCTTACAGTAAATGTAAGAAATATAGCTCTTTGAACTATACGCACTGACTTCCGACGCATACGGCGCGGCGGCCCCAGGACTGGTACAGAGTCCGTGGGGGTACGGCTAGGATAAAAAGAGTTAATAAATAAGTAAATACATATGTTTCTTCACTCTTATAACGTTTTTTGGTAAGTTACAAATCTAAGTGTTGCCATAGCCCCAACTGGAGATGGTTGCAACAACTGGTTAGTAGTGAATTGTTTAGATCATCCCTAGTGGAGTCATCTTTACCATGTCACCGAAGGTTCCGAAAGTTTGCATGAAGTCTCATACTATGGTGGTGACTTTGTCAGGTATTCTTTTTTTTTTTTGTCCCGTGTCCTGATTTTAGTGCCGATATTTGTTGGTTACTTAAGAATGTACTGACATGGTGCAAATTGTTATGTTTTCTAGAGAAACGAAACAAGGGAAAGGGGAATTGTTAAGTCAGTAATGATGATGCTGATGATGGTGATGGTGATGGTAATGGTAATTGTGATGGTGATCATGAGGATGATTATTTAGGTTGGCGATGATGATGTTCTGATGTTGGAAATGACGTGCATATTAGTCTTAGTGTTAAGTTCGTTTGGCGCTTACTCTAGATCCGCGCCAGGCTGTCCTGGGGGGCAGGACACAACCCTCATTCCCGACTCCTCACATAGAGTGACCAAAAATTTGGAAATAATTCATCATCTTCATCCCTAGCATTTAATAAAAGTATGCCGAAAAATCACATGGCGGCCGTTTCCAAGTGATGACATTGTTAGTGTGTTTGTTACCCTACGTCTATACTATCATATTTTCAAAACAGTGAAGGGAATGTGGCCAATAATCTTTGTAATATTAATTTTCATAGCCAAAGCAGACTGACTTGGGTGCTTACAAGTTATTGCTATCGTCGTTCGCAACTGGTCCCGAGGCACTTCTGTGATTGTCGGAGCATGTGCCTGAAAAACCATGCCCAGACGACCAGAGAATTACAGGATTACTTTGTCAGTATTAGTACCTAAACTACTGGGCCAAGACGAGTTTGTAGGAGGGAACAGACAGAGATACAAATTTTGCTTGTATGAGGGTAGTGTGTTTGTGTTTGCCTCAGTATGTTTTGTCTTTTCTTAATATGTGTGCCACTTGCGTTGATGTTAGTCGGACATATCTTGTTAATTATACTTGTATCTCACGGATTGTTTTCAATCTGTTTGCTTATCAAAAATAATAAATACCACTACTTGTGGGTTGACCTGTTGGACAACTCACCGTACCGGGGCAAGTGGAGTCATCACAATACAATGAATCCACTTTACCCGGGGGAAGCCCCCCTATACATCCTAACAGTACAGCCCTCCCCAGTTCAACCTTGCATGCTACCTGTTAAACACAAATTTAAAAAATAAAAAAATAATAGTAATGAATAATTTTTAAATAACATTTTTTAAACACTGAAAAAAAACAAAAACAAGACTAGTAATAATAATAAATGAATACAATATCATCTGGTTGGTTGGGTACTCCAAAAGTAGTAATAACACGGATGTTGTTGTTGGTGGTGGAGGTGGTTCAGGGATGTACATATTTTGAGCCTTACCGTCCGTATTGTTGTTTTTTGTTCAGTAACGTGTACCCTTTGTGCCTTTAGTCTGTGGGTGGTTGGTGGGTGCTCTGGTGTTGTTTGCTCCTTCTTTCCTATCAGCCTGATTTCCTGTAAAGACTTCTCTATTGACATCCACCCCTTGGCGCTCATATGACCTTATGCAGTTGTGAGCGCTGTAAAACCTCTCCTAAAACAAATTCTTTCCTTTCAAACGTTCATCGGTGGTTGAATTAAAAGGCAGAGATTTGTTTTGGCTCCCTCCTTTCGGGCTGTCGCTCGCTTTGAAAAATTCAGATACAATACGTCCTGAGATTAAAGCACACGACATCTGCTGTCTTGTTTGCCTTAGAAGTTTGAACGTACAATCCGTTCATTTAGTGGTCAAAAGTAGTTTATAGTACTCTTCAATACTGAAGGCTGTGAGGAATAGATCTATAACATACTATAGTGTTTTCTTTCTATTGGTCAGCATGTTTGTCTGCTGTAGGTTTAAAAAAACCCCAACTGACTGGCATAACATTTGTCCGGCAAATATGAGGTTAGGTTGGGGGCTGAGATTTGTACAAGTTAGACAACAAGTGTCTTTAGGCCATTCCCAAAGTATAACTGTAAATGGGCTGATTTATCAGTGTCATGCTCATACTGTGCCGGAACAACTTAGGGGGAACTGCTGCTTTTTCTTTCGTCATCCTTACTATCGTCATTTTTCCTCTACTTCTTTCGTATGTTTATCACTCTCTTGTGAACTGCTATTTCTGGGGTGCCTTGATAGGCGAAGCAGACTTTGTGCTGTTGAGGCTAGAGAGGTGAGCAGAGTAAGCCTGATTCCCCATTTGGACTTCTCTGTTGGCACCCACTCCTTGGCACTCATATGACCTTATGCAGTTGTGAGCGCCGTAATAGCTTACTAAAACTATAACAAGACCTCGCCTGATGTAATAATTTTATTCTTTTGACAGATATGATCTGACATTACAGCTGTCCAGTTCAGATATCCAGTACAAGTCGGTCCTTAAGTGATATCAGTATTGTCCAGTTGAGATAATTCTGTACAAGACAGTCCTTAAGTGATGTTATGATTTATTCTTTTCACAGATACATCTGGCATTACTTCTGACATTCTGGAGAACGTGCTTGGCCACTGGGTCTATGAAGTGACCGTTGAAGCCAAAACCAACATGGGTGTGGCTGCTGTATCAAGACCACAGACCATTACAACATTATACAAACGTAAGTTGATGGGAAACCTGTACAACATTCCACAAACGTAAGTTGATGGGAAACTTGTACAGCATTATACAACTGTAAGTTGTTGGGAAACTTGAGAGGGAAGGTGGGACATTTTGTTCTTCGAAAGATGGCATGGGTGCATGAATTAAATCTCATTTCCCTATGAGCGATCTTTGTTAAGCCTTGTTGTTCTTACTTCCCCCAGCCCCAGGACCTGTTACTGCTCTGACGTTGACAAAGAGTACCCAGGTGGCCTCTGACGTTTCCCTGAGCTTTGGATGTCCCAAGGAAAAAGAAAGAAATGGCGTCATCACAGGCTTTTACATTTCAAAGTCGGATCGCGCTAGGGACCCAGTGAGTACATGTTATGTGTCACAACGCGGTGGAATCAGGCGCTCGTCATTTTCGAGGGGCATATGGAGTTATTGGTATCACCTTAGAGCACGTTTACTTGTTTTTGCTTTTGAGGAAAAAAAA